TAAAATTTGAAAAGGCAGACATAGTTTTTGGCAGGAAGTTTTTGTAGGTCTGAGAGGGACAAAACAACTGGAATGAATGTGTTGCTAGACAATCAGAGCTCCTTAATTTTTCTTTCCTACATCAATAGTTTGGAGTAACTTGGGTCACTGACATCCTTGATGAATGCCTAGTTCTCTTTTCCTATATGCATTTCATGTATTCTGTTGATTCACTTTTCATCTTAATACAGAATGGGCAAATTTCTAGAAATCCAAATATATCTGAAGGTAAAAGAATGCATGCAGTGTCTAGCACTAATGTGTACTTTCCCTTTTCTGACTGCACTCATAACAACTATGTCAGCTTCTACCACACCTTCTTCCTTCCTATCCAGGGCAGCACATTTTTATTGCATTTACCTTTGTTTTAATTTGTAAATGACTGAATCCAGCTTTTGAAATAGGTGTATGGGGTGTATTCTTTTCATGCAGTCAGTAAAGGTTCTTTTTTTTTTCTGTGGTTGCTGTTTGATAGGTGGAGTGTTGCCTGCAAGGCAAATTTTTATAGTTAACATTTTGAGGGTAAACTTAATTAAAGCTGAAAAGTTCAAAAAGCTCTTTGCTTTTTGAACATTAAACAACATTATCAAGAAAGCAGCAAAAGACAGCAAGGGAGAAATAATAACTTAAAATTGCCATAGAACTGCTATATTGAAAGAAATATCCATAAATCAGAGGGTTTTTGAAAATTGTAATCTTGGTTAGAGACGTCACATGAAAATCAAAGGGTAGGGAAAACAGGAGTGAGAACAGTGTTTTTTGTGTGAAATGTGTGTTTCTTGGGACATTGACTTGTAAGAGAAAAACATAGGAAACATAAAATATGCTGAAGTGCACAAAATGGGTTTTTGGAGGGACATGAAAACTGATGCATGTGAAAGCCAAAGGGTTATTTTAGCTGGAAACCTGAGTGCAGATTGCATTCTCAAAAAGAGATGGATGGCAGTGTATGTTCTTTCAATAAATGTATATCTTAAAAAAACCTATATGTGTAATGGCAAGAGGATTTTGTGCTGTTACTCTGAAGATTAAATGCATGTGGGAGTTGAAGTAGTTTTGTTTAACCAGGCAGGCAGGGCCTCCTGGTGCATGACCTTTGAAAGGTGAAATTCATGTTCTCCTTGTGCTAGGGAAATAATGTTTTATATGACCTTGTTATATGCTCAGTAACAGATCCTCACAGCAATTTTGTTTTTGAACAAATTGGCTACATTTGATGAGAAGAGAAAGAAAGACTGACTTAAGAAGTGAAGAACAACTTGGCATGAGCGTGACAGAATAACCTTTGTGCAACATTCTGCTTAATTTCTTCATAACTACTGACTTTCATTTGATAGAAGATACCTCACAGTAGTAGATCAAGGAATCAACTGTATACTCAGGGAATCCTGCAATGCAAAATCCTGTTAAGGACAATATGCTTCAGTATCTGCCTCTGAGAATCTAGGAGCAAGGATTATGGATCTTAGTGAAATGAAGGAGAAATTTCTTTAACCATTACAAATCTGCTCCTGACCCTCTGTTGCCATCCTTTCTTACATCAATGCACACAGTGTTTAATTGTCTTCATGCAGAAGTTTTTTTTTTCTATTTGGTAATTTTTAAGTTTTGTAATGATAAGAGCATTGTTAAGCACCTGAATGATACACAGATATTGCAAACTGGCTTGCAAGCAGTTCAGGAAGCTTCCTGTTGTTCTTGCACTAGAAAGCACTGTTTTATTTAAATTCCGTACTTTTGCCAAACAGTGCCATAAGTTACACCAACCTGTTTAACTGCCATCAGATGTTGACTGGACTTTTACATTTGTTTACTACCTTTTATAATGAGACATCAGGGTTAGATGGTTTTCGTGTGAGAGGAATTGTCCTGCTTTGAACTAATCTATGCAGGAATTTCTGTCTTTTTAATTTTTATTCTTCTTCTTTTTTTTTTTTTTAAATTGCTTTTGCCCACCACTTTTCATCTTTTCATCTTTTCATCTAAAATATTGAGTAGAATAATGCCTAAGTGCTTTTATAAAATTGTTTTGCATCCAAATGTTTTGCTTGTGTGCAGAAGACACTTGCCATCTGTGGTGGGCTGACCCTGACTGGATTCCAGGTGCTCACCAAAGCCTCACTCTCAATTCCCCTCAGAAGGACAGGGAAGAGAAAATATAACAAAAGACTCATGGGTTGAGATAAGTAAAGAGAGAGATCACTCACCAGTTATGATCTTGGGCACCACAGACTCACCTTGGGGAACTTAATTTAGTTTATATCAATCAAAGTGGGCTAAAAGAAGTAAAACAAAATCTTAACACTCCTTTCCTCTACACACACTTTACTCCAACCCTACCTTCTTCCTGCTCCAACGTGGATTCCCTGTGGAGTCACAAGTCCTGCCAGGAGCCTGCTCCAGCATGGGCTTCCCATGGGGTCACAGCCTTCTTTCAGGCATTTACCTACTTGGGTGTGGGATCCTCCAGGGGCTGCAGGTGGATTTGTGCTCCCATGTGGCTCACCATGGGCTGCATGGGGACAGCTGCCTCACTGTGGTCTTGCCATGGGCTGCAGGGGATTCTCTGCTCTGGCACCTGGAGCAGGTCCTGACCCTCTTCCTTCACTCACCTTGATGCTAGAGGAACACCAGAGCTGTTCCTCTCACATATTCTCATCCACTCCGCTCTGGATGCACTTACATCTGTGCAAGAAGTTCTCTTTCTTCAATGTGCTGTCCCAGAGGCACTACCACTGTTGCTGATGGGCTTAGTCTTGGAACCAGCTGGCACTGGTTCTGTGGGCACTGGGGAAAGCTTCTGCAATACTCTCACAGAAACCACCCCTCTAGGTACCAAAACCGTGCAAAGCCAATACACCATCTTATGGCCATGCATCTGTTAAGAACTGACTGTGTGTTATTTGGGTGAATTCCTTTAATTGAATGAATTAATTAATAACAGATTATATTCATCTGAAGTTTAAAAAATATATATATAAATATATACACACACGTATGGAGATGGTAGAAAAAGGCATAAAGTATGCACAGTACTGTGGCCCCATATAAAGGGAAGGAAGTCAAGGAGCTGCTCTGTTCCCATCTTGGTGGCATGTTTTGGGGATGTCACATGTGCAATGCCTGACATCTAGTGGGCAGGAATCAAATTCGGAGATTTCGTTCATTGTGAGCTAAAACCCTTTTTGGCTTGTTCATTAACTCTTAGTGAAATTAATCTGTGCATACTGTTATAAGCAAATTCAAAACTACTTTTTAGCACCGTATTTTTAATTATTTTAGCACTGCCAAGCTATCCAAATAGCACGAAAGCAATGAGATCCTAAAATCATTGATATCAGTTATGTTGTATTGAGATCAGCTTCTGTGAGGTTGGTGTTATAACTACAAAGACTACAGCATGTTAGTGTGTGGCATTTTCAGAGGCGACACATAAAATTTCGGTTTTAAACATCTATTTATATAAATGTCTGAGAAAAACAACTGTGTTAAGTTTTCATTAAGATTGGTGTCCTGAGCTCCCTTGGAAGGACCCACAGTGGGTCATCTGGTCCAACCTCTTTGCTCAAGCAGGGTCGTCTCAGAGCACATGGCACAAGATTGTGTTCAGATGGTGCTTGAATATCTCCAGTGAAGGAGACTACATGACCTCTCTGGGCAGCCTGTTCCAGTGTGTGGTCAATGTCACAGTAAAGAATTTCTTCCTCATGTTCAGGTGGAAGTTCCCATGCATCACTTTCTGCCCCTTGTCTCTTGTCCTGTTGCTCAGGACCCCTGAACAGAGCCCGATCCCTCCTCTTGGCATCCCTTCTTCAGATACTTACAGGCATTGATAAGATCCCTTCTCAGTCGCCTCTGCTCAAGGCTGAACATGCCCAACTCCCTCAGCCTTTCTTCATAAGAGAGATGCTCCATTCCCTTAAGCATCTTTGTTACCCTTCACTTTGGGACCATCTCCAGGAGTTCCATTTCTCTCTTGTTCTGAGGAGCCCAGAACTGGACACAGCAGTCCAGACATGGCCACACGATGGCTCTGTAGAGGGGCAGAGTCAGCTCCCACAATGAAGGCCACTGGCCTTGGCCCCAAGAACACACTGCTGGCTCATGGACACCAGGACCCCCAGCTCCTTTTCCACCGAGCTGCTTCCCCGCAGGCCAGCCCCTGGCCTGTACAGGTGCACAGGATCATTCCTCATCAGGTGCAGGACCCTGGGTTTTCCTGTGCTGAATTTCAGATTGTTTTTCTCTGCCCATCTCTCCAGCCTGCCAAGGTCCCTCTGAAGGGCTGCAGAGCTCTCTGGGGTTTCAGCCACCCCTCCCAGCTTTGTGTCTTCAGGGAACGTGCTGAGGAGGCATCTGCCCTTCCTCCAAGCCTTTGATGAAAAGTTAAACAATACTGGGCCCTGTATCAGCTCCGGGGGGCACCACTAGTGACAGGCCCCCAACTAGATCCTGTGCCACTGATTGTAATGCCCTGGGATTGCCACTCAGCCAGCTCTCAATTGATCTCACTGCCCTCTCATCCAGTCTACTCTTCCTGAGCTTGCCTATGAGGATGCTGTGAGAGAATGTTTCTTAGAATTACAGACATGAGTAGAAAAGGTTTTTTTTATACCCAGTCAGCAGACCTGAAAATAGCCAGACACTGTCATGTCTGATCTTTCAAATGTCACAAATCTCACAATGCATTTTTTTCCCTTCCTATTTAATGTTCAGTACTTTCACCTAGGGGACCATGAACTCCTTAGACATGTAGTTGGCCCAGTGGACTACAGATAAGTTATGTAAATCCAGCATGGAAATAATGGGTCTACAGTATATAAGGGCAATCAGTAAGGTGAATTAATTGTCTGCTAGGAGATGTGGGAATTTGAAATATTTGTGTCAAGAAAAATAGTCTTTCCTAAAATAGTGTGGTATAACCTTAGGCAAAATGGGAGGCTTGTATCATTGTTGAACAGTAAGGAAAACATCACGGTGAGATCTTGAAATTATAAGGCTTCTTAGAACACAGGACTCTGTATCATTGCATGGTTTGCATCTGCCTCTTGCCACTGTAATAAATGAATACTCCAATTAAATAATTAAAGAAATTAAATTATCAAAGTATAAATTTGGAATAAGCCACAACCTAAAATTGACTCTGAGCCGGGCAATCAGAATCAGGAATTTGTAGGATTTGGTCTTTTTGTACCAAAGTCCCCATGGGTCTCCAAAGAGTAGTTCTCAGAGGGTCCCTTTTATACAGTTTTTCCGTACCCTGGAAGGGTTTCTTCTTTAGCATATCATTGAGTTTTCCGGAACTGGTGGATAATTGCTGGAATCCTGTCAGAAAAAAACTTTCTGGGAAAAACTTCTGATGATGCTTATCAATATGCCTCCTGCTGGAATCTGGTCAGATGAAAAATCCCTTGGAATATACATTGGAATATACGTCTCTGGAGGTATTGTCTTCCTGGTATTTGAATTCCTCTCACTTAGTTTGTGGTTGCTGGTGATGCTTCTCAAAATGCCTCCTGTCAAATGAGAGCAATCCCCTGGAATATACATTTCTGGGGACAGCTGCCTTCCTATTTGAATTCTCTATACACGGAATGCTGTGGGGTTTTTATTTTATTTCATTTAGGATGAATTATTTTATAGTATATATCACTCCACCATTTTGAAAACCAACCAGAGGTGATTGTGCTTCTTGCAGGATAACTGGGGAAAACAAAATCTATGTTGTAGAGGCTGTTAAACTGGGTAATTGACCATGATGTTTTTGTCTTGCTTTGAATCCAGGAGAATATAAAAAAAATCTGGGAAATGACACTTATGAAAAACAAACACATATCTTTGGCCATAAGTCCGTAATTAAGGCAAATGAGGAATTTTTGCTGTTAGTATCCTGTACTATAGCTAGACACAGAGAAGAGTGCAGACAGAATGGCCAAAGAGCAAAAAGAATGAACCAGATATAAAATAAAGTTAATGCAAGCCATTCATCAGAGTTTGATTTGTTGCTCCCAAATGAAGATTTCTTAAATGTGTTTTCCCATAGGGTACACTTGCTGAACGTATTAGAGCAGGAGGAGCAGGAATCCCAGCATTTTACACCAGTACTGGCTATGGGACACTGGTGCAGGAAGGAGGTGCACCCATCAAGTACAACACAGATGGCACCATTGCCATTGCCAGCCAGCCAAGAGAGGTAAGAGGTCTGATTGCCATTTGGAAGCCTTCACCATTGAAAAATTAATTTCTAACATATTTACAAGATAAACAGATGTTTAAGAAGGAGTTAAATTTAGCTTTACTCTATTCATTTAACTGGATATATGTGGTACAGACACATTAGCTTTGTTTTCATTGCTTACTGCTGTCCTCTGTGATGTGAAGTTTTTACAGTTATAGAGTGATTTAGCATCAAGACCTGGTCCAAGTGAAAGCCTGCCTTGTGAGTTACTCTTCACTTGACTGTTCTCTGACCAGGTTCACTGTGTATTCAAATTAAATTCAAACTAAAACCTGTTAGTGGGGCAGGTGCTCCTTAAATACAGCACTATGTAGTAAGTAGCCCTGCAGCTGCACATGGAGCTTCAGCCTTAGAAGAAATGGGACATTCTCATGTTAAACTGGGAGGAGCTCAGTTGACACAAATTTTAGGAAATGCATTTCCCAACATTTGAAATGCAATTTAGTCGCAGTTTTTAAAACTGCAAAGAAATAAAAAGACTGTGGCTTTCAAGGCAGAAACAAGGGTTTAATTTTGAAGTTGGATATAGAATTTGGAGAAGGGAAGAGATGTCTCAGTGCCATAAATTTTCTTAAAGAATTGGGTGGGGCTAGTATTGTGTGTTCCAATTAGGCTGCATACAACATTAAATTTCACCTCAAGAGCATTTCTGGGGTAAAGGTAATTCCACCCTAACCCATGGTTTTCATGTATTTTATACATGACTATTTGCAGTATCTATACATTGTCCTAATATTTTATATTCTCTTAATTTTTTTACTGTATACGTCATTATGATGTTTTACCATTTGGAGGAATGTTTTTTTCAATAAATACCTTATAATTTTAATAACATTTTTCTTCATTTGTTTTTCTTTTGACATTTGTGGGAAAATCTCCCTTACTCTCCTCAGTCTAATAATGATGGGGTACTAATATCATGACTAGCATGATTTGTTGATTTCATTCTCCACATCCATTTTACACAGAAGTATCATTTTATAAAGGCTCAGATCTCCTTATATGGTATTGGCAAACTGATATCTTTTCTCATACTTCCCATTTCAGCAATTTTAAAAAGCTCTCAAGTAATATTTGTGTATACTCTTACCTTCCACATTGTTAAGAGAGGTGGTCCTTCATCTCTCTATATAGGATTGAAAGACTAGCTCTGTCCCTCTTCCATATTTTGGCTTCAGGCATAGTATCATTCATTCCAAATATTGATCATAAATGCAGGGAAAACCAAAAGAAACTCAGCCTGTTAGATGATTTGAATTGACTTAATTTTGGATTTGGTGGTGGATAGTGGTTATGACCTTTTTCAGTAATTCTGCTTTAGCACTTCAGTTTTTGGTCAGCTGGTAGATGTGCAGGACAAAGCATGTCTAATTCCAGTAGATGGAGCAGGAGGAATGTGGAGTCTCATGATGTTTCACTAGAGACACTGCGATGAATCTGGGATTTAGAGCCTATGATAAAACTGGGGTTTCCATGCCTCTCTGTTATCATACAGCTTTTCAGTAAAAACTTTAGAGAGTCAAAAAGAAGTTGAAATATAATAGTGTGCAAAATTAACCCCTAAAATAAGTATTACTTGTGATATCTGTTGGAAGAAACCTACATCTTAATTTTGGACTTTTCTCTGTAGGTGAGGGAGTTTGATGGTCGTCACTTTATTCTAGAGAAATCTATTACAGGAGATTTTGCTCTTGTGAAGGCATGGAAGGCTGATCGTGCAGGAAACATAATTTTCAGGTATGACTTGTTTACTGGCGGGAAAAAATTATTTTACAGTTTAGGTAATGAATGGCAAGAAGAATCCTGTCTCCTGTGTTATGGCAAAATAATGTTTTACTGATTTCACATTCTCTCATATTGCCTTTCCCTGCTGTCAAATTATGCTGCTGTAAAACACCAAAATATAATTGCTTTTTCTAATGACTTTTGAGAATTCAAACATAGCTATGAAGTAAAGCATTTATAGTTAAAAATGAGAGACAGCAGACCGAAGTCATTATGATGACTGTTGAGAAACGTAGTGACATTCTCTTTCTTTCAATATTCATGTTAGTTTGGGTCCTTTTTCTTGAGCAATTAAAGGCCAACCCAAGAAGTACAGGCTCATGCACAACAGAACTGAGTCCATCTTCTGGCCAGTCAGTGATGGGGAAATTGATTCTGTCTAAAGAAATCTGTGTTTAAAGTTTGTTGCATCTCAGTGGTGTAGGGAAAGGCATCATATGAATTTAAACATTTTTGCAATGAAAAGTTTGATGTAGTATTACTGAGAAAATCTTTTATAGGAGTTGCTCTGTTTGTGTTCTGGTTTGTCCTGAACTGAAGGAGGAGAGAGGTTTGCTTATGTTTAATGCCTGGTTTTTATTTGTTTGTCTTATGGCTATCAGATGAAAACGTGAGTGTTGTAGTTATTATGTGCAGTTTATTATAAGCACATGCTGATTGAGAGTCTGTCTTTGTATAGAACAAACAAGGAGCTGGAAAAGCAACTGAAAAATATGTGTATAAAACAACACCCATAAAGTAACTATTTTCTTTATGTGTACATGTGTGTGTATATATATTTTTTATATCCACATAATTAATAGTAAGTTAAAATACTTGAAAATTAATTAATTTATATATACACATAATTAATGCTAAGTTAAAATACTTGAAAATTTATAAATTAGTTTTTATTAGTTTTTTATAATTGCCCAACTCTTGACATTCTGACTTGCCCACTGGCAAGACAATATGGTTTCTGATTAAAAGCTGAACTTTCTTGTATGTGTGCAGATGAATTTGATGGCTGCTAAACTGCTCTCCTTAGGCTCTGGTACATTGAATAGAGGAAACACTCTTCCTGCTTGGCCTTGTCTTTGATCCTGAGCCATTAGTCTCTGTGCTTTTATCCTGTATCTTTCTACAGATGCATAGTAGAGACCTCTCAAAAGTTCTTTCATTCTCCATGGAAAGACTTTTTGGTTGTGCTCTCCTTTTACCCTCTTCCTTTATGTCCTGTTGTTCTCTATGGCTTTCCTTTTTCCTGTTCCTTTCAGAAGTCTTCATTATGTCTCCCATGTATTCACACAGTACAGCTGATAACAGACACTACTTCCATCTGGAGTGAAGACCTAAAAATCTTGACTCCTCCCTTCAACTGTAACAAATCGAAGATGGAAACTAATAATCATCTGGTGCCCAATTCCATATAGAATATTGCTAGCTCAGAGGAATGTGCTTATGATAAACAGTGACCTATTCTGTTTCTGGATGAGACATGATTATCTGATAACACAGAACAGAGAAACATAGGGTCATCTTATAACTTGCCATCTGCTACAACTTTCTCAGCAGTGTGGTACTATTCATGGTGTGTTTCCTGTGACTGTGTGAAGCCAGTAGTAATGGTATGTCTGCCAAACTGTTAATCACCCTCAAGCTAAGAGCTTTTATAAATTTAGAGGATGTAAGTGTAAGTGTACTTTAGCTACACTTACTTGGACCAGAGGCTGGCATTAATTTTTTTCCTATTCTCATACATCAAGCTATACTGTTTTATTGGAATTCAGAATGGCACCAACTTCTTTAGAAAGCTGCTTTTAAAATGTTGTTTTGTTGGGTTTTTTTTAAGTTCTACTTCATGAGTCCTAGATCTTTCATTCCATACAGCATGTTGTGGTGGCTTTCATTTCAGGCATTGTCATGCTGAGTGGACTATTCTGCACCACTTAGCAGTGGTTAGCTTTTGTCTAACAAAGGTCTTAACCTTCCCTGGGGCTTTGCTCCTTAGGGACAACATCAGGGAGTGCCACTGCTTCTGTGGATAGTCAGAGAATCCCAGAATGGCCTGGTTTGGAAGGGACCTTAAATATCATCGAGTTTCAGCCTCCATCTGTGGGCAGGCAGACCCTTCACTGAGTTGGGTTGCTTAGAGGTCCATCCAGCCTGGCCTTGAACACTTCTGGGGATGGGGCATCCACAGCTTCTCTGGGCAACCTGTTTCAGTTCCTCACCACCCTCAGTAAAGAATTTCTCCCTAAAATCAAATCTAAACCTCCCCTCTCTCAACTTGAAGCCATTCTCCCTTGTTTTGTTACTACATGCCCTTGTGAAAAGTCCATCTATGTTGAATACTCCCTTCAGGTACTGGAAGGCTGTAATTTGGTCACCCTGAAGCCTTCTCTTTTCCATGCTTAACAATTCAAATTCTCTCAGCCTTTCCTTGTAGGAGATCTCTGATCATCTTGGTGGCCTTTGGACAGGCTCCAGCAGGTCCCTGTCCCTGCTGTGCTGGGAGGCCAGCTCTGGATGCAGCGCTCCAGGTGGGTCTCAGCAGAGCAGAGCAGAGGGGCAGAATCCCCTCCCTGCCCTGCTGCCCACGGGGCTCTGGATGCAGCCCAGGACATGTTTGGCTCTCTGGGCTGGGAGTGCCATGGCCGGGGCATGTGCAGCCTCTCAGCCACAGCACCCCCAAGCCCTCCTGGGCAGGGCTGCTCTGGGGCTGTTCATGCCCAGCCTGTGCTGGTACCAGGGGTTGTTCCTATCCCGGTGCAGTACCAGCACTTGGACTTGTTAAACCTCATCAGATTCCCAAGAGCCACTTCTTGAGCTTGTCCAGGTTCCTCGGGATGGTATCTGATCCTTCAGAAGTGTCAACAGCACCACTCAGCTTGGTGCCATCTGCTAATTTGCTGAGGGTGTACTCCATTCCTTTGTCTGTGTCATTATTGAAGATATCAAATAACACTGTACAGACCCCTGAGGGACACCACTTGTCACTGATGTCCACTGGGTCTCTGAGCCATTGATCATTAACCTCTGGATGAGACTATTGAACCAATTCCTTATCTACCAAACAGTCTATGCAATTTAACTAATCTCTCTCCAAGTCAGAGACAATGTTGTGGGGCTGTAAAGCCATGTCAAAGGCTTTAGAAAAGTGCAGATAAATTACATCTATAGCCATTTCCCATCCACTGATGTAGTCACTCCATCATAGAAGACCACTATATTGGTTAGGCAGGACTTGCCTAACAGATGTGAAGTTTTGCTGGCTGTCCTGAATCACCTCCCTGTGACTTAGCACAGCTTCTAGGAGTATGCACCATGATCTTCCCAGGCACAGAGGTGAGGCTGACAAGTCAGTAGTTCCTGGGGTCCTTCTTTATATAATTTTTAAAGATGGTGACCATCTTTCCCTCTTTCCAGTCACCTGGTACTTCACCTGACTGCCATGACTTTTCAAATATCATGGAGAGTGATTTGTCTGCCTCCTTTAGCTCCCTTCACTTTTCACCTGGCCCCATTCTGCTAGGTGTTGTAGCCCAATGTACCTCGATTTTACAAGCAAATACATGGCTTGTTGGTGATGAAAATAGACAATTGACAAAGAAGCAGAAATGTTGAAGGGATAACCTGAGTCGGAGCCTCTTCTGTGACAGTCATGTCAGGTCATCTCTTCATGCTTCAAGTGAAGTACATAAATTCAGCTCATACCTGAGGTGTCTCTGCATCTTCACATCACTAGATATGTAGTAGATGTAGTTTGTTGGTTTAGTCTGGTTTGCTATCTTTTGCCCCTGGGAGAAAAGATGTCATGCCTTTGGTCAGCTTAGAAATCCAGTGGAACAATGGAACTTTGTAGACGTTGCTGTATCTAGATATCCAGAAATTTTTTTTTAAATAAAAAGTCAACTTTGTCTAGCTAGTTTTTGAATTTCCTACTGCTAACTCCTTAACATTATTCTGTGTTGGAAAATAAGTGTAGTGCTTCTGCTTTTTTTTCATCTAGATGATTTCTTTAGAAATAAGGCCTTTGATCCCATAAAACTTCTGGAGAGTGTGTTCTTTAGAAATAAAGCCTTTGATCCTGTAAAAGACTACTGCTTCTGAAAAAACTTTACTAACTCAAGAACAGTTTAAATAGCAGAAGCTTTTATAAATTACATCAGATTAGACCATTAGCTCTTCTTAATGTCAAATTAATGTTTTCTTGTAGTTTTTTCCCTATGTAAAAAATAATTTTATGTCAGTTTATTTTACTGGCAGAGTAGCCACTACTATCTTGAGAAAGTCTTTGGCTCAGAAAAGTAGTTACATGGGATGAAATATTGAATTGTTAGTTTTGTCATCTTCCTTTCCCCCATCAGTATCCATTTCTCAGCTATTTTAAATCAGGTTTTATATCTCTATTTTTCTTCTCATTTGCTACTCTGCCTAGTTTAGGGGAGTTTTCCCTGAATCACTACTAACTAGTATTTTCGCCTCTCAGAGGAAAGTGTAAACGCAAACTGTGGGGTTTTTTTCTTCTGCTTCTTATTGTTATATCCTTCTTTTGAGTCTGTATAGCCACCAAAAAGACCCATGGGCAGAAGATATTCATAGAATCATAGAATATATTGAGTTGAAGGGACCCACAAAGATCATCAAAGTCCAACCCCTGGCCCTGCACAGCACTATCCCCAGGAGTCACACCCTGTGCCTGAGAACATTGTCCAAACAGTTCTTGAATTGGTGTTCTTCAGGCTGGTGCTGTCTCCGCTGCCCTGGGGAGCCTGTTCCACTGCCCCATCACTCTCTGAGTGAAAAACTTTTCTCAGATGTTGAACTTAAACCTTCCCTGACTCAGCTTCAGGCCTTTCCCTCGGGGCCTGTCGCTGGTCACCACAGACCAGAGATCAGTGCCTGCCCCTCCTCGTCCCCTCAGAAGGAAGATGTAGCTGCAGTGAGGTGTCCCCCCAGTCTCCCCCAGGCTGAGCAGACCAAGTGACCTCAGCCACTCCTGATTTGGCTTCCTTTTAAGGCCCTTCATCATCCTTATGACCCTCCTTTGGACAATCTCTAATAGTTTAGTATCTTTTTTATGTTGTGGCACCCAAAAGTGCCCCCAGCCCTCGGGCTGAGGCCGCCCCAGTGCAGAGCAGTGCAGGGCAGTGCAGAGCAGAGCAGAGCAGAGCGGGACAATCCCCTCCCTTCCCTCCCTTGCCCGGCTGGCGATGCCCCCAAGACAGGGTTGACCTTTTGTCAGAGGCTCACAGCCGCTATATACTGCCAATAAAACGGGGTTTCCCCAAGGCAGGTGTCTGCGGGTACAGCTTCGGTCGTGTCGGTGCGTGCCCGGGGGCCTGTGTGTGCCGGGCCGTCCCTCGGCGCTGCCCCGGAGCCGCGCGGTGGCAGCAGCGCCCCGAGCCCGCCGCGGCTGCGGCGCCCGGCCCGGACCGCGCCTTGCAGGCTGGGCTCCAGGGCTTTTTCCCAGCTTAAATGATTCCGTGTGTCTGTGAAATAAGGATGGCCGGGGGAAAAAAAAAAAATGCTTCTGTGGAAAAACGATGTGGGAAAGGAGGCTTTGTCTTGTTTTGAAACCTGGTTTCGTGGATTTTGATGAAAATTTTTCAGCAGTTCTGCTTTTTAACAGAGAAAAATGCCAAGAAGCTAGCAATGGAACACCACTAAAACCGTAATAGTATTTCTTAATTATTAAATGTGCTGTGCATCTTTGTTTGGTTTCTGAAAAACATAGGGAGTGACTGACACAGGTCACTTGTTTCCCCTGTGCTCCTAGGATCTTGGTGTAGTTGCCAACACAAGTATACATGTTAAGTGTTGCTTTTGCTCTTTAGAGGTTCTTTTTCCTTGGTATGGAAAAGGTTTGTGGGAATACTTGGGGTGAATGCCAGAGTCTTACAGTGGATGCCAAAACTGACACAGGTTTGGGGTTTATTTTATTGGATTTTTTTTTTGTTTGGTTTTTTAAATTTTTTTTTGTTTGTTTGTTTTTTGGTGTTTTTTTTTTTTTTTTGTTTGTTTGTTTGTTTCTGGTTGTTTTTTGGGGTTTTTTTGTGTTTTTTTTGGGTTTGGTTTGTTGTGTTTTGTGTTGTTTTTTGTTGGGTTTTTTTGTGTGGTTTTTTTTTTTTTTTTAATTAAAATAAGTGAATTACATTTACTACTGTGTAAAGTGCTATCCCAAGTCCTAGTCTGAGTTAGGAAAACATACTTGAGAGATTGTTAGGCCTGGTGCTGGTCCCCAGTGGAGATTAATTTCATTCTTTGTGCAGTAAAATAATGGCATTGTACACAGTCCAGCTTGCTGCTGCTTTTGGATCCAATGAATAAAGATATCAGTAATATATCCAATTTCAATTAAACAGTATGCTGATCTAAAGTCAAAAGAGCTGTAATAAATACTTTCTAATGTAGCAAAATATGATTTCATTTCAGATGCAGCTTACACAATACCATAATATTTTTTTCTCCCTTATAGGTTTTTTTTATTAGTTCTTCAGCTATTTGGCAAAAAGCTTTGTGATGCTTAAAACACAGACATTCCTCTAGTAGCTTATCTCTGAAAAGTATTTCATTGTACTCTTATGGTCTTTAATATTTATTAATTTTCTTTTTTTTTTCAGGAAAACTGCAAGAAACTTCAACCAACCTATGTGCAAAGCTGCAAAAACAACTGTAGTAGAGGTAGGGAATTGAAACGTAATAATCCCTGTACTGTTATAGTCAACATATGCCTTTATCTTACGTGGTAGTCTGGAGAGAGGCTGGGAGGATTTCAGATCATTGCAGGATTTCAAATCAGCATCAGTGGTCTAACCTCTCTCCTTGGATTGCCTTCTGCTGATGCTATGCTCTGCTTTGGTGAGTAACTCCTTTGTTGCTGTACATCTGATGCTGATCAGGACTTTGTGTTCACTGTGATCAGCCTTTGAAAGGGAAACAAAGCAAGAGCCTTCAAATTTGTCAAATAAAGAAATACATGGATGAAAGAGGAAAAGAGTAGGCTTAGGCTGTGTTTGAGAAGATTCACATAAGACTTTATGCAAAACTTCTTGAAAAGAAAATCAAGTACATAATAACATGAATTAGGCAAACCACAGAGCTATCACAGTTGTGGTCTCTAAACTTCAATAAATTACATAAATATCAGTCCACAATTAGATACAGACATTTGCTGTGTCTTGAGAACGAGGATGGACTAGCTGATCTAGAAGTTTCTTCCAGTCTTTTTGCCCTTTTTCTTTGTCTGAAATGATAATATTTAAAAACATGAAACAGCCTACTCTGGAAAAATATTGGTGCCTAGAGAGTTGCTAAAACATAGCAATATGTAAAAGATAGACTGCTTTCTTAGATTTTTCTTCACTCTCTGTTAAGTTTTTTTATATGTCTAATAAAAGCTAAATACAGTTTGGCAGTAAGATCAAGACAAACTCTTCTGGGCTATTTCTAGTAAACGGTATATAGAAGAGGCTTTTATTTCTTCAGGGTTTCTTGTTTGTTTTGTTTGAGGGTTGGCTTGGATTTTTGTTTGTATGTTTGTGAGATGTTATTTGGAAAATATATTTGTTACATAAGCATCTCTGGATAATACATTTGGGAACTTCAGTTATTTCTTTGTGCCTTACAGAACTATCACAAAAAATACCATGATATTTGCCACATGACTTACAGTGACAATACAGCAAAACATTCTCATGTTTTGTTTTTAAGAAAGGTTTCAAGTATTTTTCTATCTAAAAATTAAATAAAGAATCTTTTCTTCTAGACACTTGTCCTTTATACCTTGTTCAGTCTGGCATTTAAAGAATTTAAGTAGATCAAAGCCTTCCACCTACATTGCATCTCATTTTCTCTTTCTGCTTTTCTATCCACGTATGATAGGGTAGAATTTTCTTGTCAGTGAGCAGCTGATGTGACATCGTTCTTGCTGTAATTCCATTTATCAGTTGTTAGTAGATCTGCTGTGAACTGTGTCCACTCTGAGTCTTATTGCATTTTCAATGCCATTAAAAAAACCGTCAATCTTTTTGCAAGATGCATTATTAATATTACTTTGCAATTCTGTTTTTTATGGACAAATTGAAGGTTGGACAGATGAAGATGCAAAACCACAGATTTAGGACAAATATTTTGAATCATCCTTGACTTAACTTCTAAATGTCATTCTTTCAAAGTGGAATTCAGAATGTTGTGTTTGGATGTGAGAGTTAAAACCCAGGGAATCAGAGGGAAATGTCTCTATATGGTGTCTAGTACATCCGCAGTACTGAGCAGTATAAGCTGCCTTAGCGCATCAGTAGTGAACTGAAGCAACTAAAAAATTTGAGTTTTGTCTGACTCCTTAGTTAATGTTGTTCAAGGCTGAAGATTGAAATTCTCAAACCCATTTACAGGGAGAAGAAAAAGGTTTGTGTAGGGTAGTAATTCAGATACTGTCTTGGTCAGAGGGATTTCCAAATTCTGGTGCTTTTTCCCAGCTCTGTTTCTGTAACTGACTGAACACTTAACTGAATTTGAGCAGACAGTTCTAGTCTCTGGGTGTAGACACTTGAAGCCAACCCTGCTCCTTTTCATCAAAATAGCTACAGGTCAGGCTATTCTTCAAAGATAAAGTGATTAACTGGGGTTTTCAGGATTGTTTCCCATTTTGCTGAGGTTTACTTTAGTTTCTGATCATTGATACAAATATGGAATGGCATTTGGCATAGTAAGATACTAATGAAATATAAACTACTGGAAATCCAATCTCAATGTATCTGTGAACTTGTTGAAAGCAGGAAGTTAACCAGAAATCAATTACATTTGTTAACATGTCCTGCTAAGTTAACCTGAGATGTGAAATCTGACATGCACGCACAGTGAAGGACTTTTTTTTCTTTACTTAATGCTGTTGTTCTCTAGTTTTAGTCTGTGTGGTGTTTTACACACTCTTATCTGAAGTACAGACAGACACTTAATAATTGTAACAATTCAGAGGCAGACAAATTTTGTCGATGTGAAGGATAAGAGAAAAGAAAAAGAAATAAGAGATAAAAACCCCACACTTCTCAAACTCACAGACTCATATCTATTGTTTGCTTAGAAATTCTCCAGTATTGTGAGAAGCAAGATTGGCTGCACATAGAGGTGTCTGAAGAAGGAGGAAGTCAGACTGTTACCTGTTATATTTGACACACAGTGAAGAATTACTGATTTTCGAAGTGCCAGATTATGCTTTCAGCCTTGCTTATTTTGAATAGGGAAATGGTCAGAAGTAGCCATTCAGTACTCATTTTGGGATCAGAAATACATTGATTGTAAGCTTCTGATTAAATGCAACAAGTGTTTACTGATCTGCACAAATTTTTTGAACTGTTGCATGCATCTCTTTTGTCTAAGTGAGAGGGAGTAGAACCTGCTATCAAGACAATAAGGATGAGGAACAGATAACTGTCTATAAAAATCTAACTGTGCCAAGTCCAATGGAATTTCTACTTTAATTTGAAGGTGACTCATTATTAAAGGTCAAAACCAATTTTCAACTGAATTGCATGGTTCCTGTAATTTGGAAGTTAACCTTTGCAGAGACAAATGCTAAATAATGTTGGTAGCATCAGTTATTTTGTCTTTATCTATATATAAAAGTGAAATTATGCAGGGAGTTCATCTGCTTCTCACTTCAGCTTGCAGGACCTGCAGAAGTTAAGCATGCAGTTAGACTTCTAGTTTTGTTTGAACCTGAGCTCTCATGCACACACTCAGCCTGAGGCTTTCAGGTTGTTTTTTCAGAGCTATAAACACTTTCCTGCTCCTGTAACAAAGATGGGAGAGTTGAGAAATTGGCCAATACAAAAGAAACTCAACAGTCAGAAGTTACATACAAGCCACCAGCCCTTGTAAAGACTGAAAGGAAGAGCACGGCAAGTGAAGAAACTTGAGAGGTTGTGTGGTGTTAGAGATGTGGTAACAATTCCAACACTGTTGAATGAAGGTGAAACTGAATCGAGGAGGTGTCACTGCTGTCAGGACCCTCAAGAGAGCTGTTGAATTTTGCGATGGGAAATGAACTGTGAGGCAGCATGGAGTTGCAGGGAGGCCTCTTGGATGCGTGCCTAGGCTTCAAGGGGTAAGGGCTGTGATAACAGGGGGCTTCTTAACATGTGCATATCCCTGTAGAGACATCTCTGCGCAGAGCCCCACTGGGGCTTTTGGTCATTACATATCTTTTTTGCAGGGAATTGGGGCTAACCAAAGCCACAGTAGAAAACATGGTGTGACCTTGCCAGATGTGTGGTGTCATGACAATATGGGAAAGGGTAATATAGGCTTGGGCTCTTGCTTTCTGCCACATAAGAGTACATAAATGTCTGTAACTGTTCCAAATGACCCTGAGCTCTTATCTGTTTTCTTTTTATTCTCTGCTGTGATACCTACTGAATATTTTTCTCTGGTGAAGTGGTTTGAGATCTCAGCCACTGCCACCGTGAAAGTGTTGGTAGTGGTAATGGTCAATACGTTTAGAAATATTTATTGACTGGCTGTTTGAATATCCAGTTTGAATAATTTTCTTGTTCAGATCACAGAAGATGGCTAAATATATCTCCTTGGGTAAATAGCATTTACACCTCAAATAATATCAAGGGAGCGAAAAAAAGAGAGTGTACTTTCTCATAAAAATGCATTAAATAAAAATCATTAAGCCCTGCATTTTTATCTCTGGTTGCCTAGTAACAACACAGCCACATCAGTGAGCACCATTTTCTCAGGTACAATGAACTGCGTGGCACTAAGGGACAGAATCAGAGTGAAATAAGCTATTTGTATCCTGTTATCTGTGCTAAATCATGGCATTTGGTTTTATTGAGGAAACTTGAAATGAACCTTTTTTTGTGTGTATGTCTATACCTCCAAATGCTTTAACAGTGGCAAAACTTTCCTCACATGCACAGCTCTGTTCTGAGAAATTCTTCAAGATTTTTGCGCAGTGACAGTTTACTATAAAAAAACTGTAAGTACCACTTTAAAGTGAAACAACCATCTAATAGAAACTTTTTTTTACCTGGGTACTCCAGCCATGGAACTCAAAAGTGAACCCTGGCACAGGATGGCTTTGGGACGGGCACAGATTTTAGAAACCACAGATCAGAATGAAAGACATAGAATTAAAGTCCTTCTGTTCAAATGCTGTAGCCACTGAACTTTTGTATTGCTGTAGCTTTGGTTGATATTATTTAACTGCTCAATGAGGAGTCTGTGTGTGCTTAGGCAGTGGTTGTAAGGGAGTGTCCCATGGATCTACAGTGGGAGAAAGGCGTTTTTTGAGAATCCAATTTGTCACAGGATGGACGCTGAACTTCTTAGTCCTGCCACATTACCAGCTGCTTTTGGCACAAGTGGCAGTAGAATTCTAGTTGCCATAATATGCTCCTATAATACATTATGTGTATGTGTATGTGTATATAGATGTGTGTGTGTGTATATATATATAAAATAAATATAGAAAACTTTGTATCTTGAATGTATAGGTAGTTAGTCAGGGCTTTTGACTGCATAAGTGTATTTACATGCCTAGGCCTTGGCTAAATCCTGAGTCAGGGATGTTTGTGGATCTAAATTTAGATAACCCAAATATAAAGTATAGGCATTACAATAAGCTTTCCCAGAGGAAAATAGCAAAATATCAGGAATGTCTCTTAGGAAGA